AGGTTCTTCTTTGGTTCTTTCGTGCTGGTAACGTCGAATTCGGTGGTTCTTCGTCACTGGTGTCGTCAAATTTGGTGGTTCTTGTTTCGTCGTTGATGTTATTAAATTTAATTTTAGTCCTTCTTTCGTTGTTGGTGCCGCCCGCTTTCTTTGCCATTGGCTCGTCCATTTTGATATTCGTTGGAGTGTTCTTTCTTTGACGCAGGTAAGTATTTCTTGGCTGTTAGTGTTGTACATTTCAGTGCTTCTTCTGTCGCTAATATTTTTTTATTACATCTATAATTTCTGAAACATCTGATAAATATTAGCCAAATGTTTTTTCGCCAATTTGATAAGTTTGTGGTCATGAAACGGGTCTAATTGGTTTTTAGGTCAAGTTAAACTTGGCTTGGGTCAAATTAATCACTAGCAAAATTTTACAGGCCGGAATTGTGTTGATGCCGACCAGGTTTTTTAATTGATCAATTTGATCTGGATCAAGTTTAATTTGATCTAAAAACTAAATTAACCCGTAACATATATATAGGGTTGGAAAATTACTGTAATTTTACGTAATTTTACATAAATTTGTGTTTCTGAAATCAAAATTACATGTAATTTTGATGTAATTAATTTGGGCTAAAACAGAGACACAGAATTTATGTGATAAGAATTTGTAAATTATGCATGATATATTCAATAATTAAAATTAAAAGTGCGATTTAATGATATTTATTAAGCAATTTTATCTTGTAAAAAAATACTTGTGATTTTTTAAATATCGTATTGTCTCGAAATAATGCATGGGGTGTAGATTAAAATTTTGGCCTGAATTAAGCTTGATTTAGACTGAATTAAGCTTAATTCGAGCCAAAATTTTAACCTACACCCCAGGCGTTATTTCGAGGACCGGGTAAAATTGTCACCCAAAAAAATTTCGAAAATTATGACATTGTCAATTTATCATGATAATAATAATATTTATAAGATATTAATTGATTTAGTAATTTTTTTTCAAAAATAAAAGCGATCATTTCATTTCGACAAAGTGATTTTTTTAAGTGAATAAAATTAAATATTTTAAAAATATACAGTACATCAATTGCTATAACCAAAATTTTTACTAATAATAAATGAAAAAAAAGAATTAAAGTCAAAATAAAATTGTAAAAACTAATCAAGAGAATGCAGTTGCACCAAATTTGACGACACCAGTGACGAAGAACCACCGAATTCGACGTTACCAGCACGAAAGAACCAAAGAAGAACCT